AACTTCTTAGTCCGATATCTTTGAAATGTCCTTACCATTTGAACTCCTTGAAGATAATTTTTCTTGATTTTTATCGAGAGTATTCTTAGGTAACTTCAATTATCTAAGATGTAATTAACTATAGGGGCTTGCCCTTATAAGAAGCTTTTCCCGAACCCAGCATAATATAAACCCTATTTAATTCCTTATATTAAATAGGGGAATTTGTCGGCCAATACATTGGTTTCGCAGACCAAACGAATGTCATAACTTACTCTAGTTTATTTGATCAAACCTCACCCTCAATTCTTGTGTTCATCCTTCGGGATAGATACAGGATTCGAGGTAAAACGCTCTTTCATCTAAACTATGAAAATTATGGGAGTTTGACTTCATCTTTTTCAAAAAAAATAAAAATTTTTAAAACGTCCTTCCAAAGCGGGCTATGGGATTTCAATTCCGATGACCGACAGCTTCTTACGGACAAACCCCACACCAAAAATAGTGCCGACAGTAATCTAGGAGTGAGAAACTAGAACCTACCCTGCACTACTATACATGTCGACACTAACTTTAGATTAGCTAATGTTCTTTGCACAATTTGAGAGAAAGTAAAGAAATAAGCATGCTCCTATTTGTCACAATACCACATTCAAGTTTCTAAAAAAAAATTTACTCACTAAAAAAGTTTTAATTATCATAAAAATTCTTAAGTAAGATTAAAAAAGTTATTTTACTCACTCCTTTATTTAACCTATACCATTCATATCACAATAATGTATTAAAAAACTAAGGTATTCAAGAAAAAAGAAATTGAAAGTTTCGCACACTGTTTGACATGATTAGTCGAGTTGCTCTTCCTTAAATAAGAGTTTAAGTAAGAAATCATGAATTTCATTGGAAGTTGCTTCTCAATAATCTCCAAGGAGAAAGCATTACTCAAATTTAGTTAATGGCTCTCAACTCAATGGAGTGTATCAATTGTTCCATTGAATTTTGGGTAATAAATTTTCATTGCTTGTGGAAACTTGAAACAAAGTATAGAAACTTGACAGAAAGAGGCGGCCATAAGAACCTACTCCAAGGCACCATAGATCAATCTAATGAGTTTTTTTCTCCATTTGAAGGAGTTGTTTATAAGTGATAGAATTATTGGTTTTTCATTTTGACATATCCCTTTCTTATGGTTTTTTTTTTCATATTTTATTGCTAAAAAACTTGATGTATGGTCCTCAACATTAATTCACAATCATCGTACCATGAAAATAGTTAAATTCAAATTTTATTTGTTGGGCCCATATCTAACTAATAGTTTGATTAAAAAAGGAGGGACAATAAAATAAAATATAGCTCTATTTTTTAAAAATATAAAGCTCGTGATAATGACTTGTGGGCATACCCTTCGAACCTCTATTTATAGGTGCGGAAAGTGACAACTTTAATTGAAATTTTGTATTTAAGCAAAGTGAATAAATTACATAATATAGCCCAACATATAATTGCATAAAAGAAAAAAAAATACAACAATTATATATCATACTAGATATGATAATAATTTCTAAATGTTGGATTTGCTTTCATGAAGTCATCGAACTTCACCTTTATTGGTTTATTATATTGAAAATTCAAGATGGCTATCTAAGTGATCTCTAAGGCCAAGTATACAAGTGAGTTGCTTAAGCAAGTTTCTTTTACTTCAAATAGGCTCGAGATGCGTTGATCTCGTATGTGAGTTAATCACAATAAAGCAATTCTTATAGTTGATTCTATGGAAGCTTGACAAAGTAGACTTGAACATATCCAAAATGACTAGTGCAAATTATTTTTTATTTCATTTAAAATTTTAGATGACATATCGTCAAAAAGGAATGAAGCTTAAATTAAAGTCTTAAATCAAATGATAGAAATTTTTTTTTTATATGGCTCATTCTTTCTGTAGAATTTCAATAAAATTCTAAGATGCAAATTTAATGAACAAGTAAAAAATTTGTACCAACTGCTTAAAGTTGCTAATTGACTGAAATCCACTTGAAAAAAGTGAAGAGAAACGCGTGAAACAATAGGCGATGGCTTGGCACACCGGTTGTCCTTGACAAATAACTTCTCTTCCTTAAAAATGTTGAGCATATTTATTGACGGGTGATCGCCGGAATTTTGAGCCGTATTGGCCGGGGGACCGGGTGCTTCCACTTCGCAGCCCTTTTACCACTTGCAAGACCGTATATGTGATAAAATTCGTAGTTTTCAATGACCTAGTAGATACGCGCGCGCGCTCCCTCTCTCTCTCTCTCTCTCTCTCTCTGCGTGCTCTTTTTCCAGCAGAGAGAGAAAGAAAAAGCGTTCTTCTTTTTTTCCCTCCTACCATCGTCATCCCCATCCCCATCGCCGAGTCGCCGTTGCTTGTCATGCTTTCAAAGGTCACTTCTTTCAAGGTCTCTCCCCTTGTAGGGTTCGTCATTTCAGTTTATTTTGCTTGTTCGTATTTGGATTGTTATTCTTCTTAAAGATGTTTTTTTTCTTTGGGTGAGATGCTTAGCTTTCTTTCTTATCGTGTTCTTTGTATGGATTCTATGAATTTGGTCTTGTTGACGTCCAGTTAATACTTCCCGCGGTCTTTGTGAATTGTGCTGTTTTGTCTCTCCTGAATTAAGTAGTTTACTTCACTTTGATTTTAGGAAACTGATTTTAGATGGGCTCAGAAAATTGTGCTCCAACCATGCTTGATACAAATGATGCTTTGTAAGTTCTTGCCGTTTCTTGTTGAATTATTTGCGCTGGCTTTGAATGGAGCAGGACAGAGCAGTTTGTTTTGTTTTGGTACTTTAAGAGTGCCCTTGTTTCATTTTTTTTTTTTTAACCAACTGCTTCTTTTCTTAATTGCTTTTCTGCTAGCGAGATTTTTTATATTTCTGAAATGTTCTTTATTGAATTGAGATCTGAGGATTCATTTGATCGAATGCATTTTCACATCTGTGGACTCATTAATAATACAGAACAAATCGTGGGATTCGTGGACCCAATCGCGGGATATCTCCCACGGTTCGGATTCGTGGACCTAATCGGTCCAGACCCGCTGACGGGCTCTTCCACGGGAGATTGGAGCCTTCTCCTTTCCATGGTGATCCACTCCTGTGTTTATTTTTTCAGTTTTGGTCGTGTTTCTGTTCAGGATGCCCTGGTTTCTCCCTTCCTGGACTGTATCCAGAGATGGGCAGTGAGCCGAGGTGGTGATTGTCTGCCAAGAATCAAGTGTTGCTCAGGCCTATACATCCTTAACTTTCTATCCTCAGCAGCCTTACCTCTCCTCAAAGAAATCACCCTTGCTGCCTCCCTGCAGCCCAACCCTTGTCCTTCCCAACCACGCAGCTTGCTCTGTCCAACCGCTGCTATACCTGCCTCCTCCTAGCTCCCACCTGCCGGCTGTCCATCCCAGCCACGAACTTCATGCTGCATCTGCCGCAGCCTTCTTCCCAATTACTTTCATCCTACAACCACAACAAGCCTCCCGCAAAACAACCAACTCTACCCCTCTTGGGATACTACCTTACTCACACGTGTTATGTCTGTGTTATTTCCAATTTTCAGTTGATTGTTTCTATTTGATTTTCGGCAATAATATTATTTCCGTTGTTGTTTGGGTTAACTTCGATATAACCATGTTTGATTCCAAATGTCATTGCAAAATTCTCTGCTTTGCTTAATTTATTGTTGTTGTGCTTAAGAAGCTTGTTGGATTTAAATTTTTAGGTAGCTTTTTATGATCATCCATTTAATTTACAGGTAAGAGGGCAAGCTTCTATGTTGCCAAACATTAGGAAAAGTTGGTTTGGAAAACATGTACTGTATGGCTTGGGCAATATTGTTCTAAGACCTATCAAATTACTCAGAGGGGGAAGCCAGTTACTGGGAGTTTCGAATTTTTGTAGTATCTCTGGTTTAGATTCTTCCTTGCAAATTGAATTGGTGAGCTTTCTGCAATAACATGAAGTTGTAAATTTAACTTTTACATTCCTTACAAGTCCAAATCTTATTTCATTGATTCATATCCAATGATTTTAACACATATAAGAACCAGTCTATGATCAGCATGGAGAAACCACTAGAATAATGCATACAAGTTAGGCCTCACAGTTTAAAATGTTTACCCAAAATTATTCTTTTTATTTTTTTTTTTTATGTTGAACCAAGGTAAAAAAATCATGGCATGCAAGCATAGAAAATAATTATTTTAAGATTTTTCTGTCCATGATTATGGAGTTATTTACATTATTGATGGGTATATACTGGTTCATTTTAAATATTTTCTTGTGCTGAATTTTTGCAATATTCATGATCATTGAAACTATTCCTGTTTTATCTGTTTTTGTTTTCATGTAGCCAGAGAAGTGCACATAACGGGATGTTCTAGTAACTTCTAATTTGGAATTCATTTTGTAAAAATTTTCTGTACTTACTGTAGCCTGTACTAGATCATGGTTTAAAATATTCCTTAAATGTACATTGGTTTTGGCATCTTCCTTGAATAGCGAGAGATGGTTATACGTACTTGGTTAAGCATGGTTTTAGCTTCAGGAGTCTGGTTTTTAAAAATTCTATGTTTCTGAACTCTTTTGATGAAATGATTATTTAAGTTTGAACTACATTGTGAATTTATTTTTCTGTTTTCATCTCAATTTTTTGTCTCAATTTTCGTTGGAAAATGTTTTCACTCATTAATGGTTATCATGTAAGATCTGCTGTTAATTTACAGGTGCCTTGCCTACATGATAATTATGCATATCTTTTGCGTGATAATGACACTGGTACAGTTGGTGTTGTTGATCCTTCAGATGCTGTACCTGTTATAGATGCATTAAGACGAAGAAATCAGAACTTAACATATATCCTCAATACTCATCATCATTATGATCACATTGGCGGTAATATGGAGCTTAAAGAAAGGTATGGTGCAAAGGTATGATATAAAATCCATTCTCCTTTGTATTGCTAATTGCAATTTAGAGTCCTTTCATTTATATTGCTCGAAAAGAGAATAAACAAGAACTTTATTGCCTTATCAATTCTACTTCTACAAGAAATTATAGATGAATTCTCCTTATATATATATGCACATATAATATGCAATTAATTCATTTATTGGTTAATTTCCCTCCACGTATCACATATTCAATACTTTGAAGTTTTTCATTGAAATAGAACATCCAATTCATTATCCAGTTTAATAGATAAATGCCATGAAGTTTTGATAATATTTTATAGTAGTTTTTAAAGTGCCTGTTTGCGTATTAAAATTATCCAACTATTAAAATTAATGCATAAAAGAGAAGGAATTGATTGCCTTGCTTGTTTCGAAGTAAAGGCTGAAGGCACCATTCTACAGAGATTATGAAAGCACTAGAGGGGAAAAAAATAAAAAAAATAATAAAAAACCAATTAGGGAAATATGTAATATCAATTAGAATGTGATGGTGAAAATTTCATGTGTCGATATCCATTGGAATAGCTTCTCATCCTCACATTTATTTTCTTCCAAATTAATGTCCTAAACTTTAAAATCATAAGTCTTGCTAGTGATCCAAGTATTTTCATCTCCCACCCCCTTTTCTGAAGTCTGGAATAGATATTGATCATTTCTAGCTTGAAATTAAGGTTGTCAAATTGATTTTTATTAAGGGCCTTACTAGGTATGTATGTCGTTTGTGATTTTGTAGAAATATTGATCATTTTGTGATTCTGTAGAAATATTGATCATTTTGTGATTCCTTGTTCATTTTTCTCATATATGATGTATCAATCAATCTTAATATGTTTAGTGTTATTATGGTGGACATGATCGTTAGTATGTTGATTTTGTCTTGGTTGTCATAAATCATTATTGCCAATGTGTTCATATAGATTTCGAGGTCTTTTAGGGCATATTCATTAACAAATTCGATGGGGCATAACTTTGAACTTTGCTTTTACACTACTTCTTACAATAATTTCTTGTGTTTTGCTCGTTCAAGTGGCTAAATTTTTTTCAGATAAATGAGTCGTAGCTAGAGGTGGACTTACTATTTATGATCGTCTATAGATCTTGCTCAGTCAGTTTTAACCAAGATTTAAATAATTTTATGTAATTTCATTTTGAAGAATACCCCTCATTCAAAAAACCCTTTAGGATACCTCAATGTACTTTAAACAATATCAAGATGCTCCTCAATGGGAATTTTATTTTGACCAACTCACATTGTTTTGGGAAGCTGATCTGAGGTATAGTATGGGAAATGTTTGTGGTTTTTAACGAGTCATTGGTATTTTTCTTTGTCCATTTCCGACGAATCATTTTTAGCTTTGATTTTCTTGATTTGATCCAGTAGTTTATTAACATTATATTTGTTTCTTTTAAGAAATCCAATGTATACTTTTGGTTAGAGACAAATGTACTTTTCTTGATCATGTGATTACCATATCATGGAAATAGTTTATTGTTCCATGATATCTAATTATAAATTATATTGCTAAGAAGTCATTTATATATTGATTTTTTCTTCATTGTTAAATGTTAGGATAATATTTTAACATAAACAAGGATGATGATTTGAAGATTGGGTGATTCTTTGACAAATCAAGTGTGATCAACCTATCGCTAAGGGTACTATTTCTTTCTAATTCTACTAGTGAATCTATTGCACTAGATTGTTGGAGATTGCTTCAGATCAATGTTAAAGTCTGCTGACTTTTCCTTTCTAATTTTACTAGTAAATCTGTTGAACTAGATTATTGGAGATTGCTTCAGATCATTTTTAAAGTTTGTTGAGTTTTCCTTTCTTATTGATCGTCTCGAATCTAGGAGTATTATTAGGAGATATCCCCGATCATGTGTTTGATGAGCAGGAATTATAATTATTGAAGTTCAATGCATCCATGTTTGTTGAATTTTCCTGAAATTTAGTGTAAACTATAAATTTATATTTGATTTTTTCTATTTGATCTTGAGAAATTTCATTATAAATCGGTGACTTAGCTTCTAGGAAATCAGGGAGAGATGAAGCTAAAACATTTGAGATAGAAAACTCATATTCATTAAAACTATTAGAATTAGAATTCTCTCCCTTAAATACGACTGTTTTGGATAAAAGGGTTGATTTAAAAAAAAAAAAGAAAAAAAAATTGTTACATCTTTATCAGTATAATATATATTTATTTTGGTAGGAACATTTGCACCCTTTTTGGCTGGGAGAGTAATTGATAATGATACATTTGATGGCTTTTCAGTCTTGTTGTTTTATATATGATGCAGAACAATTAAAGACTTTGAGAGTTAGTGGAAATGAATTTATTTGTGGTGCATACTTTGATGAGAACTTAGCCAAGGTATTTGAATTTTAAATGCTTGATGATAAACTAAATGGGTTGGAGAAAAAATTGATAAGAAGATTGATAACTTAGGTTTTAAACTTTAGTATTTTGTTAAGAGTAGCACTAGAAATGGTGTAGGTGTAATTATACACAAGAGTTTGAAAGATAATGTTGTAAAAATTAATAGACTTGGAGATAGAATTATAGTCCTTAAGATTATTATTGATACTAAGATTTCTAATATTATATAAGTGCTTACCCCTCAAGTAGGTTTAGATATCGGGTTTAAAGATAAATTATGGAAAATCTGGAGTATGGAAAATATGGAGTGACTTAGAAAACTTAATACAAATGATATCTCTTGAAAAAAGAAGTTTTATTGGAAGAGATTTAAATGTACATGTCGGTAGAGGGGTAGAAGATTTTAGAAATATTCATGGTGGCTACGGTTTTGGAGTGACTAATGAATAAGGTAAAGTTATTTTATATTTTGCTTTAGCGTATGATTTTGTTATTACTGATAATTTATTCAAGAAAAGAGATGAGCATCTTATTACTTATAAGAATGGATATAATAAGACACAAATTGATTATTTTTTTATGAGAGGAAGAGATCGTCGAGATTGTAAAGATTGTATGGTCATTAAGTACCCAACATCGATTATTAGTTCTAGATTTTAAAAGTTGTAAAATAAAAAATAATAGGACTCATCATTGTAGAATTAGATGGGGGAACCTAAAAGTCACAAATAAAATTATTTTTATGAGTGAAATTCAAGATTTCAAAATTTTTGATGTTCATGAAGAAACAAATGCTATGTGGTGATAAAGTAATAAACACCATTAAACAAGTAGTAAAAGATGTACTTGGAGAATCAAAAGAAAAAGTTTGTATAAATTAAAATAGTTGGTGGTGGAATAATAATATGCAAGAAAAAATAAAATATCAGAAGTTATGTTATAAAATATGGTTTAAATGTAAAAGTTTAGAGAACTGAGAAAAATATCAAATGACCCGTAGTGAGTCTTAAAAAATAATTTGTGACGCTAAAAATTCTTCTTTTAGTGATCTTTATAATATATTAGATATTAAGGAGGGTGAAAAATATATGTATAAACTAGCTAAATAAAGAGAAAAAAAAGTAAAGATTTAACTCAAGTAAAGTGCATTAAAGATAAAATCAAAAGGTGTTTCTCTTAGAAAAGGATATTTAACGTAGGTGGGCGAGTTATTTTGATAAACTTTTTAATGAAGTTTATGAAAATACGATCGACCTTAGTGATCTTAATATTGTTAATAATAATAAAACGTTTAATTTTTACCGTCGCATTAGTAAAAAAGAAGTTGAGGAGGCTTTAAAAAAAATCAAGGGTGGAAAGTTTGTAGGATATGATATCCCAATTGAATTGTGGAAATATTTAGGAGATTTGGGACGTTCTTGGCTTACTAAACTCTTTATTATTATTTTACAAATTATCATGATGCCTAAGGAGTGGAGGAAAAGTATTTCGGTCCCCATTTTTAAGAATAAAGGGGATGCACAAGAGTGTGCAAATTATAGAGGAATTAAGTTGATGTGTCATACTTTAAAATTATGGGAGGGAAATTGAACATAGGTTAAGACGTATTACAAAGATTTCTCATAATCAATTTGGATTTATGCCGAGCAAATCTACTATGGAAGCTATACATTTATTGAGAGGTTTGATGGAGAAGTTTAGAAATAATGAGGATCTTTATTTGATTTTTATTGATTTATAAAAAAGCTTACGATAAGGTTCCAAGAGATATCCTTTGGAGAGTTCTTGAGAAGAAAGGTGGAAGAAAGAGAAAGGTGTTGATATGACTTATAGTCAAGTCATTAAACATATGTATACTAGAGCTGTTACTTGTGTTCGAACTGAAGGAGGATTGACCAAATATTTTCCTATTTTTGTTGGATTACATCAGAGATCGGCTTTAAGCCCCTATGTTTTTGCTTTAGTTATGGTTGGTCTTATTGGACATTTACAGAAGGATGTACCTTGGCGTATGCTTTTTGTTGATGATATCCTTCTCATGGATAAGATGAGAGAAAAAGCCTAAGAAATACTTGAATTATGGAGGTCTATGCCGGAGTCTAAAAGCCTTCATTTGAGTTGAATTAAAACTGAATACATGGAATGTAATTTTAGTTATAGTAGCTCTAGTGACAGAAGTGTATCTTTGGGTGATCAAATTATTAAAAAAGTGTGTGAACGTAAAGGTATGAACGATTTAGATATCTCGGTTCTGTTGTTCAAAGCAATGGTGATATAGATATAGATGGGATGTTATTAGTAGAATTCAAGTTGGATGGTTGAAGTGGATGAATGCTTCAGGCCTATTGTGTGATAGAAAAGTACCGCTTAGACTAAAAGGAAAATTTTATATGATGTTGGTGAGACCTGCAGTGCTCTATGGCGCTGAATGTTGGCCTTTAAAAGAGAAGTATAATACTAAGTTAAGTGTTGTCAAGATGACAATGATTAGGTGGATGAGTGACTTTACAGTTAGAGACAAAATGCGAAATGAATATATCCGTGATAGGGTTGGTGTAGCTCTAGTGACAGACAAAATTAGAGAGAGTCGCCTTAGATGGTTTGGCCACATTAAACGTCGTCCGTTTGATTATTCGATTGGAGAGTAGATGTTTTAGATTCAACTTATGTTAAGAAAGGCAGAGGTGGATCTAGGAAGACTTGGGCTTATTATATAAATAATGATCTTAATTTATTAGAATTAATTGAAAATATGACAAAATATGACACAACACAAAATAGGACACAATGGAGAAAATGGATTCATGTAGCCGACCCCATGTAGGGATTAAGGCTTTGTTGTTGTTGTAATTGTTGATGATATATAGGTAATGAGGTATGCAACAGTCAGAATGGCCTCTTTTCCAATATTACTTTGGAACATTGCTAGTGATTATAAAGTGTACCTAGCAACTTCCAAAAGATGTCTATTCTTTCTTTCAACAGTCACATTTTCTTTAGGAATATATATGTAGGATTTCTTATGTTGTAATCTTTATTAAAAAAGGTATTCTTGAAGAATTGAATTACAATATTTTTTGCCATTATTGGACATGAGAACATAAATTTAGGTTTTAAATTGGGCTTGTATGAGGAGATAGAATTTTTTTACATTATGATTAGTTTTCAATACATCCATCAAGAAAATCAAGGTAGTTTTAATTTGGTGTTTAATAAATGATAAGAATTACGTAGGCCATTTGATATTGGTAATATAAGATGGTTTCCAAATGTTACTACGAATGACTAAAAAAGTTTGCGAGGTTTTATAGCTAAGATTATGTATTTATTTTTGGTGTATTTTTGACAGTTGATAACATTCATTCTAAAATAATTCAAGATTTTTATCAATGAAGAAAGATGAGAATAATTTTTGGGATTCATATAACTTGGATGATTAAGATAGAGGTGCCAGAATGTGATTACCTTCTTTTTAGGGCGAGATGCACATGGAAAATTTTATTATAATTTAGGATTGTATTCGATCAATATTTTGGAGGTAGAGTTAAACACTCTTTTTAGTATTGTCAATCATCTTCTTTGAGATATAATTAACAATGAGTAGGAAAAAAATTAGTAAATCAAAATATAACCATTTGTTATTTTGCTAGTATACTTTAGATTACAGAAAGTTTAGAAACTAATAGAGCCGAATATACGTATTTGGACGTTTTGATGTTGACTCTCCCAATGATTGTCATTAGAAATAGTGATCCGCCAACAATCTTTATTTTGAACTTCACAAAATAGGGATATATTTTGTAAAATAGGGAGATATCCTTCATCATGACTCATGAGATATGACGTCCTTGAGTTCACAATCCATTAATGTGTTCTTTCAATTTTTAAATTAAGTTCACCTACGCTCATGTCTTTTTCCGTCAGTAGACCCAGTGCTGATATTAGGTGACATTATAACTGCTGGAAGTTGATTGAGCATTTTTTTTAAGATCTCCATCTGCTCTTTTTTGAATAATGTTAGTGTGGAGGAAGGTGTTGATTTTAGAGAGCAAAACATTTCTCTGTCAATGAGAGTTTATGTTATGTCAGGGGTTAGGAGGAAGTCATTCTTAGCATTATTGATACTTGGTTGAGAACTTTATAGGCTTCTTAGATTTGCGAGTTATCTAGTATTGTTATAGAATCATGAGTGACTACTATTGCAGCGAAGGATGTGAGCTCACCAAAGCTACCTCTACAATCTAACAAGATTGGTATTAAGTTTTACTTAATGTTTATTGCTTTTATCAGTAGGGTTTGAAGGTGGTTGACCCGTCAGAGTTGATGCGATGTTTCATAAATCATGTATTGATACTAGTTGGTTGGCAATAAGGTTTTGATGGAGATGCCGGTGATTGCACAAGTTATGATGATGTAATACACCTAGTGGAGGTAATTGATGTTAACCAGAAAACCCAATTCTTATTTCTCTGATTTCTCTGATTTCAATCAACAGGTTTCCCATGTAACTTCTAGTAGATTTTCTTTGTTTTTTTTTTGTCTTTTTGATAGTAGTCACACCAATGTCTTTTCATTGTTGAAGTTTTTTTATTGGATGTCTACATATCTTAAGAGTCACAACAATGTCTTTTCTTTGTTGAAAATTTTTTATTGGATGTATACATATCTTAAGAGGCGTGTGCGGAGCTTTTCGGAGTGATTTTAGCGCATTGGTCTCTCATTATGACCTTTTTACAATATTTCTCTCCTACAGTTAGAGAAAAGGGATTTTGTCTAAAATAATCTTCATCATTACTTCATTAAGACTTTTATAATAACTAGAAGTAATTTCTTTATCTTGCGCTAAACTATTTTTTAGATATTTGATTGCATCCTCTAGGCACTCCTCAATTTAGTTCTTTAATGATATCTAATTACTGCTCATATTTAATAAAAGTATTATAATTTTAAGTAATGGAAACATCAACTTGTCAAAAATCATGGAAAAAAAACCTTTGATTTCAGGTAACTTCGTAGTATCTTTATTACCTAAGCATGTTTCTTTTGTTGCATCCCATTTCCTTTTACAGAGCCATAAAAATGAATTTTGGACATTTTTTTTATGGGGTTAATGAGCCAGAGCATTACCATATTATTTTTTGATTTTTATGGACTGAATTTTGAATCTTCCTTATGAGGTTGAATTGCCGTACTGGTGAGATAATCATCCTTGCATTCTTTCTTATGATTATCATAATTGATTCTACTCATTAGAGGCAATTTTGCTCAGCTTGTGCCCATTGAGCCTTAGATTGGAGGTGAAGCTTTCATAACAACTGATGCGGCTATGAATCATTGTTTCATGGCTAGAGGTATTGTTGCATTTGAAGCTTCTATCAAAAACCTTTCCATGCTTAGCCATATCACGATTTGATTAAATGGAGAAGAACTTAGAGAGAAGAGGGGAGGGTCAACGGAGATTTCTCTGTTAACTTATTAAAAATAAGGAGACTAGTAAGAACACACAAAGAGAAGAGCTTGAATAGTGTTGCTTGTTGTAAAGTGAAGGCTAAATACACCTTCATATATCAACTACAAAGGCAAGAAATGAGAGAACAAGAGACTGAAAACAACGTAAGAAAACACGAAAGGAAATAGATAATATCAAGTAGCATGTGTTGGAAAAAATATTCTATCGGAGATGACTCCGTTACCATATTAAAAATAAAGAGACTAGTAAAAAAACACACAAAGGGAAGGTTGAAGGCTAAATACACCTTCATATATCAACTACAAAGGCAAGAAATGAGAGAACAAGAGACTGAAAACAACGTAAGAAAACACGAAAGGAAATAGATAATATCAAGTAGCATGTGTTGGAAAAAATATTCTATCGGAGATGACTCCGTTACCATATTAAAAATAAAGAGACTAGTAAAAAAACACACAAAGGGAAGGACTTGAATAGTGTTGCTTGTTCTAAAGTGAAGGCTAAGTACACCTTTATATATCAAATACATAGGCAAGAAATGATATAAAAAGAGAATGGAAACATTGTAAGCAAACACTCGAGGAAATACATAATATCATTTAGCATGTGATGGTAAAAGTATTCTATCTTTGGATATAAGTTGGAACAATATTTCACAGTCTTGATTAGCAGCCATCAATCCCCATGGATGAGTTCGCTGCCATTGAGTGCTTACCTGCCATTGAGTGCTTGCTTGGTTGCTATGTTCATGATTTTTTTCTTCCAAATTGGTTTCTTGAACTTCAACGATCTAAATTATTGCACATGGCACCTGTCCACCTGTTTTTTGGCTTCTAGGATTTCTACACTAACTGTTATGAATGGCAACGCTAGGATCGTGGACACACTTGTTTTTTATTAGTTTCTTTGTCGCTCAAGAGCTGAATCAAACCCATTTTTTCCAAAAAGCTCGAACTGGGCCTCAACTGAGAGTGGTGCCTACAATGGGCAACTAACTACTTTTGTTGACTCTTCTATCAATCAAAGGTACCAGATGCAGGATTGTAGTAAGGGAGCTCAAGATTGAGGGAGATGTTTGAGTTTGTAGACTGGAGAAGCTGGTTAACTGGAACTTAAAAAAAATAAGAGAATGTGACTAAAGGAGGATTGATATATTATACGACTTACTGAGTATATTATGCAACAATTTATGCATGTTTATTTAAAATCATTATACCCACATTAAAATGCACTAAAAATATTCTAATCTAGACATTCATAGGACTTTTTTTTGCTTAGACGGTTTTTCTTAACCTTTTTTCTTAAAATATAATTTGGTAGCCTCTTACTGGATATAGGTGATTGGTTCTGGCAAAGATAAAGATTGCATTCCTGGCATTGATATAGCCCTTCACGATGGCGATACATGGATGTTTGCAGGCCATCAGGTGCTTGTAATAGAAACCCCTGGTCACACACAAGGTAAAACTTCTTATTTGTTTTTTTTCCTTTTTGTTTTTTAAGTGAACATTTTAATCAATCTGACAAATCAAATAATTATTAATGTTTGTACCCTTTTTTGGGTGGGTGGGATTTCTGATTTAATTTACAAAGAAGAGGGGAAATTTTGTGTAGTTAGAGAATTGCTTATAGTGCTGGTTTTACTATCAGCCAATTAGGTTGGAACAAGGCTTTTTCAGTGCATGAAGATCCTGCCACTGTAGAGTTTTGGAAGGGTTAGAATTCTATTTGAGTATTGCGTGCTTTGGTTATTTGTTTTACATCATTTAATTTGAAATGCTATTGTGGATTTCGAACTGACATCAATGTGCAAGAGTGGGACATGTAATCTTTCATTATTGGTGGTAAGCATTTGCCCGGTAAATGACGTTTGAGGTACTGTTCAAATGGCGGTTTATGGTTTGGCTTGGACTGCAGTGCCAGAATACTATTCAAATGCTTGCAAGGTAGTAAATAATAGCACTCCTATTCTATAGTCTTTGGTAAATCAATGTATATAATAAGATAATAATAGTAATAAAAATTAAAAACACTTAAAAGATAATGTTTTAAAAGCATGCAAAACATTGAGAAGTGTCGTCGACACGCTTCGCCTCCTTGTCGCACTGCGATTGTGTGCGAAGCTCACGCTTCACATGAGAAGAGCTCTAGTGTGCACATGTAAAGCACGCTTCAGCGCCTTAGCGGGAGAGTAGCGGATCAGGTAACGGGTAGCAGGTTGGGTATATTACTGAATTATGCAGCATCAAGAAGCCCTAATGAGTCAACGGAGCAAGCAATCCTGCAGCTCAGTAGAGATGAGCTTGCACCAAAGAAGAGATGTTGCCTGGTAGAGTTGAAATCATGCGGGGAAGAGACGAACCTGTAGTTGCCAAGCAGAGTCGAAATCTTGCTAGGAAGCAACGAACCTGCAGCCTTTGAACAAAGACGATGTGAGGCAAAAGGGACTCAAATCTCTCAAAACCAAAACTCGTGTTCAGATCTTACCTCTGCCTCTAATTATCCTTCAAGCCTTCGCCATAGGCTCTATCTTTTTCTGCTAATGATGAATGCCGGGTGTCAGGGCTTTGGCTGCACTGAAAAGGAGTTATATATTAGTATATAGTCTATGTAAAAGGACATATACTTCCCTATGTAAAAGTACAGTTGTGGCATGTAAATAGTCTATAAATAAGTTCATCTTGTAATGCATTGAAGTATGGTGGCATGAGTAAATAAGCATTTCCACTTATCTTCTTCAGGCTCGATATTCTTCTCTTTGTCTTCATTTCCTTATATTTTCTCATATGGTGAGATCAGAACCTTAATAGCAAATATGGATTCAATTTCCTCAATGCAGCACAAGCAAATCAACAATCTACAATATCTCTCAATAAGATAAACGAGATTAATATACCCACACCATTAAAATTCTTGACGTTTCACATTAAGAACGTGGCCTATACACTTCTAACAAAAGAAAATTTGCTTCTATGGAAGGTTCAAATCTCTCAACTTATTGTAGCTTTTGGATTTGATTTCTTTTTAGACAGTACACTTCCAGCCCCATCAATATTCATACAAGATGAGAATGGAACCTCACTTGCAGGTCAAGATTATCTCTTATGACAACAAGTAGATAGAAATATTGTCGCGACAATTTTTTCACCATTTCTCCTTTACTCCCATATATTCTCTATCTAATCAATATAACCAAAATATGACACTTAACAAATCTGCAATATAAAGCAAATTTCACACCTCAAGTTTTTGCTCTTGCCAACCATCTCAATGCCCAGCACAAGAGTGGGTTATGGATACAGGAGCAACAACACATCTCACACCTCTAGCCTTACATGGAAAATTTACAACAACCAACTTCATATAAAGGCTTCAAATAAGTGGCTGTTGGAAACGTTTAAAATATAAAATTCACACATGTTGACATTCTTCCACCACCGGACAATAAGCTTAAATTCCCCACTTTCTTCAGAGTTCTTAAAGCTTAACATAATCTTATATCCATTAACAAACTAATAAAAACTAACAATTATCAAGTTATCTTTAGTGCTAATAATTTTCAAATTCAGGATTTAGCAACCAAGAAAACCCTCTTCACTAGAGCAACTAATTGAGTATACTCGATCACAAATCTCAGAAATGTTTTAAGCTCAAATATATGGCATCGTAGTTTGGGGCATCCTCACAGCAAAGTCATCTCAATGATCTCCCACTCCAATCCTCAACTCAAAATACGTATTCTCAATCAACTATGGCATGACTGGTATCAAAAGTCATAAACTACATTTGTCTTGTAGATTACCACTTATGATATTTAAACATGTTACTTTCATAAAAGGGTACAAATACTATGTTACTTTCATTGATTCTTTTTCTTGGTTTTGTTGGTTCATACCTTTAAGCATAAGTCTGAAATCATGTCTCACTTCATTTATTTGCATAAAATTTTAAAAATTCAATTCAATAAAAATATAAAATACTTTAGAATTGGAGGAGAAGCAAACGAGAACTCATAAACTCAGCTGCCCACATATACCTGAACAAAAAAGAATTGCTGAAAGAATAGACAGATACTCTGTAGAAACAACTATCAACACCGCTAACCTTCTTATAAACATCTGGATGAAAGCTATACAAATTGCTAATTATCTCGTCACGCTCCACCCATGGCTTGAAATTAATAAAGACGAGAACTGACAGTCGGACGGTGGAAATAAATTCTCTGATATTCTATTGCTATCATTTACAATTTATTATTTATCTCTTCATGATAGAGCCACTAAATAAATTAATTTAATTAAAAGTAAAAGTTTTATCTTTTTTATTGTTGTTCTCGTCACTTATACACATTAACTACTCTTCTCTTCAAATTATTCAAAAGTTTAAAATTTGAAAAATAATGTTAAAATAAAAGAATGAGTTATCTAAATATAATCTAGGAGCAATCACTCTTGTACAGTATAGTAACTAAGGAAAATAAAATAATATGCATGATGTTCTTTTATATTTCTATAAAAATTTTATAATCATTTAATATATGTATTCATGACATTTACTCAATAGAAATAACATAAACTTCTTTATGCATTAACTTTAATTTCACATTTTTTTATACTCTTAACATTCACATCTGTCTTAGGATCACGATCAAAACATAACCTAACACAGCTCTATCCAATATTATTTCCTTGACTCATTGGTTCGTGATCAATTTTACACGATTATCTGAGATAGAAAGATGTCTACTCGCCTCTGGCTGATATTCTCCCACCAGTACAGCGGTTAGAGATCCAAGAATTACATATGTCTGGGATGATTGGATAATATCTACAGGAGTAAGTAAATTGGCGTCCTCTGTCTGTACTATAAGGGGGTGAACTCCTCTTTGCATGCACATACAAGCACCCATATATAAATTTTTTCATCCTTCACTATATTTCTCTCTTATGAAACACTTTACATTTATCTACTCATGAATAATTGTACTCTAACTAAAATTATAGGACATGAAATCAACAAAATTATGCATCTATACTATGATTTACATTTCATATAGTAAGGTGATATTCTTAGAAAACTATAATGCGGCGACATCTTATTAGGAAAATTATAACGCAACTAATTATTCAACAATTTTAACATGAATATTTGATGATTAACCTAAATCACACTGAAATGAAGCATAAATGAAATCAAATATGCATTTAGAAATATTAAAAATTATTGAAATTTAGAAATATAAATACTCACTTGAAGCCTGAATGCTTTTTCTTCCCCTTGAATTCATCTTTCAACCCGTTAATTAACACTCGTTGCATCTTTAATCTTAGAGTTATCATCTTAATTAATTGTACAAAAACATTTAATATAAATAAAAAACATCCAAATTCTTACCTTATTAAAGGTTGCTCGGACCAATATTTTTTCCCATCAAAACCTTTCACTTATGATACCTAATTTCTATTCATAAAATTTTAATATTATTATCATAACAAATTTAATTAATTTAATTTATACTATTTAAAAAATGAAACTCTAACATTTACCTTTATTTGTGGTTCGGCCTGATTCTTCATTGTTCTAAAATTTGAAAATCCCTCTACTCCCGTTGATTTACATAAACCTTAGTTTAATACTCAAATATACATTTAACATCTTTTCGATTAAATAAGTAATAAAAAATAACAATATAAAATTCTAATCTTACCTTAATAATTGATTAAGGGTCTGTTTGGGGCCTCTTTTCTCACGCAGCGTGGCACCTGGTTGCAGATTTAATTTTATTTCGTCTTTTGGAAAATGAATTTTAACTGCTTTTTTTGAATAATTTGCGACGACCTGCGACCCGCGTTTAGTATTAAACCTACGGGACACCTTTACTACCCTATCCTGAGCCCTCTCTCGCGACCAAGCTTCTCCGTCTCTTCTCTCACGATTGTGCAGGCTTCTCCTACCCATTTATCGCGACTGAGCTTCCCTCCCTCATCACCCTAGAGGTAACTTCCACAATCGCCTCCTATTCGGTCTGTGATCTGTGCTTCGTATTTGCTTGGATCCTTAGGCCTGAGGTATTCTTTTCCAACTTTTCTCTGGCATTATTACTTTACGATTGGTTGTTCTCTTGATGGTTTTCGATTGATTGTTCTCTTATTGGTTTTTGATGAATTTTCGATTGGTTATTCTCTTTGTGGTTTTGCGTTGATGTTGTATTTTTTTTATTCGGGGGATGCCCTTTACTGTGGATTTGGTGGTGGTTGTTTGCTGGGGTGGTGGATTGCTACTAGTTTTGGTGGTGCATTGTTGAGGTGGTTGTGGTGGCTGTGCTTGTGGTTTGGTGGTTGTCGGTTGTGTTGGCTCTATTGTGTCTTATGGTGGTTGTCGGTGGTGTTTTTGGTTTGTGCGGCTGTGCTTGTGGTTTGGTGGTTGTCGGTTGTGTTCGCTCTGTTGTGCCTTATGGTGGC